TTACACATATATGTAAGCATTGAGCCAAATTTAGTAATGCCAACATATTAAAGGAACAATATTTGTCTCTTATATATAATACATCTATAGATACTTGTCTTTGAGTGAAGATTTAAGGTGATAGGACATATAAATAACTGCAACGTGAATCTTTACTGAAGCTCAGTATTTGACACGGAGTTCAAACTCACTGCTGTAATAACTAATAATGATTAATATAATAACTATAATATTGGCCATATTATATTTACATTACCAAAGTGAGATGACTTTAGTCTCATGAACAACATTAGCTAATTGTTATTTACTAGCTAATCTTAAAATGACTGTTCAGTACAGAAATGAAGCCCAACAATCATGTTTTACAGTCCTGTGGTCTCAGCCTCAGATACTTATCAAATCACACAGAGCTCATGTAGAAACAATTGAACTGAATGTGTTCTCCTTCATTTCTGTCAAACAAAGCTGTATGAAACGTTTCCAGCTGTTAGTATCATCTGGGCAGCGCAACGGAATCTAGACCGTCCCATTTCACAAGCCTACAAGCCTCTCACTTCCGGCCTTAGTGGTCTTTGAGTACGCAGCCCTTGAGGATCGTTAAGGCTGCGTACTTTAAGGCTGCAGACCCTGAATTGGGATACAGTCATAGATGACCAGCCCAGTAAGTTGAAGAGCATCCAGTGGAGAGAAGGAGGAGATCAATCAAGACCAGAATACAGTGAGTAGGAAGTCTTCCTTAAAAACAGGATGATCAGTATTATGTCAGTAATCAGAGGACTTCTTGTAACCAAATTTGGTCCACAAATTTCCCCTTGTGGACCAAATTTCCCCTTGTGAGACAATTAAAGGATTATTCTATTATTCTATTCTAACAAATCCTTTGATTGGTATTTTGAGACTTTAAAAGTGAGAGAGGTGGGGCTGTTGGTGGAGTCCACATTAGCCGAGAAGAAGTCCAGGAACTCATAGTGATCAGTATGCCACTAAGAAATCCTGCAGAGGTAGTAGTAATGAGTTACATTTATCTGAGTACATTTATGAAAGCAAAAATGTACTTCTAGAAGTATTTTATTGCACCAAACTTTTTCCTTATACTTGAGTATATTTGTAAAGAAGAAATGCTACTTTTGCGTCGCTATATTTGGCAATATTCAACTTGATTCTAGTTAAAAATAATTAATTTCACACATTAAATAATAATTCTAATAATAGATCATGCCTCCACTGGATCTACCCCAACTCTTTCACGAATCAGACGTAGCCATGCAGTCACATGACCAGATAAACTGTGGCGATTAGAGCAGCCCAAGCCTTTTAAACTAGCAGACACGGAAAAAAGCATGAAAAAATGGCTGAGGCCACTGTCTCTGATGCTAAAACTGAGGCAGAAGAACACCCCTGGTCTCATATACAAAGCATGCATTGCTTAAAAGCAGTACAAAAGAACAAGAATATAATGCAGTGTCTATGTGTGAGCAAAGGCAAACTGACATTTCAGCGTACAAAAACTCAACATCTAACCTGAGGAAACATGTTGCAGCTCTAGGGAAGTAACATAAGCAAGTTTTGACAAGCTTCTGCTTATGTTTAACCAACCATTTTTTATAGCGGAGACATCCTCCTTCAAGACTGTAATGGAAACCCTGGAACCTCAGTGTACAGTAATGACAAGGAAGAACATTATGCTCAGAAGTACAAGAAGATACAAAGAACATGAAGTGCATAATAATTTAAAAAAACTGAGCACTGTGAACTATGTTGCTACCTCAACAGGTTTTGTCTGCCAGACAAAATAGCTACTTTGGAGTCACTTGTCACTGGATAGATGACATCTCTTTAAAAAGGAATTCTGCTGCACTGACTTGTAGACCTCCTTAAAGGTTTACACACACATTTGATATTCTTCCTGCAGTATTAGAAAAAAAAACATTCAGAGTATCACATCAGAGAAAAACTGACCAGGACAACAACAAACAGTGGTTCAAACTTCTTGAAGGCCTTTCGATTATATGGAAAGCGAAAGTGATGAAGAAAGAGAAAACGGAAGAAGCCACCAGTGGACAGGAGGATGGAGGGTTTTACCCTTGATGATGCAGCAGAAGAGAGTCAGTTAGGGGTGGAGTATGAATATGTGTGTGCCATTATAAATGACAACACAGGTCTTGAGCATCAGCTTCCAAGGCACCAGTGGGACATGACGAGGGCACCTTTTCCAGGAGGCATCCTTATCAGATGCCCAAACCACCTCAACTGGTTCCTTTCGATGTGATGGAGCAGCGGCTCTACTGTGAGCCCGTCCCGGACGGCTGAACTCCTCACCCTATGTGTAAGGGAGAGGCCAGCCACCTTTTAGAGGAAGCCCATTTCTGCCGCTTGTATCCGTGATCTCGTTCTTTCAGTCACTACTTACAGCTCATGACCATAGCTGAGGATAGGGGCATAGATCGACTGTGGCTGCGAACCATTCCAGTGCGAGCTGGAGGCCATCAACTGATGAAGTTTTATGGTAAAAAAATATAAATTATATTTTAGAAACATAGTTTTATTTTTCTACTGCCTTGACTCCCCCACTACTCTCCCCGTTTTAGAAAGGTTTCCCTTCTGATAGAACTGCGTAACATATCGATTAAAAAAGCTTTATGTTGTGAAAAACTGAAATCTGGAAATTTAAGTTGTTTCCTATTATGTTTTTACATTTATAGATTAGAAAGATAGATAGAAGGAAGAGAAGCAAGAGGAGGAATCGTCATGGAAGGACAAGCACCTCCACGGTATGTACCTCAGCAGATGGAGGATGTGGCTGAAATCCAGAAATCCTATCAGTGGCTGGACAAAGCTGGACTGAAAGACAGCACAGAGGCACTAATCTTGGCAGCACAGGAACAAGCTCTGAGCACAAGATCCATAGAGGCAGTGGTCTATCACACCAGGCAAGATCACAGGTGCAGGCTGTGTAAAGATGCCCCTGAGACAATCCAGCACATAACAGCAGTGCGCAAGATGCTAGCAGGAAGGGAATACATGGAACGCCATAACCAAGTGGCCGGCATAGTATGCAGAAACATCTGTGCCGAGGATAGCTGGTCAAAGTAGAGGGTGGTCCAGAATTACTTTGCTAAGATCCTGTGGGATCCTTCCTTCCAGATGCAGACGGAAAACATGGTGATAGCTAACCTGCCAGACATAGTAGTGGTGGACAAGTGGAGGAAGACGGCCGTAGTGATAGATTTAGCAACACCGAATGACAGCAACGTCAGGAAGAAGGAACATTAGAAGCTGGGCTTAGAGAAGAGCTGGAGAAGATGCGGACAGTTGTGGTAACAGTGGTTCCAGTGGTAATCAGAGCACTAGGTGCAGTGAGCTTGAAGGATAGACCAACGAGACAGGAATTTTTGAACAAAAATAAATAAATGTATTCTATGCATCAAATAAACAGAAGACCGGATGCATCATTTATAGATAAAATGTTTCTTTCTTTTTCTTTTTTTTTTGTGTCCCGTTTGGATCTTTAGCCATCAGAATTGTTGTCTTAAGGCCAAGAAAGATGCCAAGCAGATTTATTTTATCAAGTGGATCATCATGGCCTTGCCATATTGGTCCATTTGATTGACCTTTATTATAATTATGTATTTATTTTATTTTCGGTTGCTACAAATGGGACAGACATGACTGGGGGATAGGACAGGGAGAAAGAATGAAAGAAAGAGAGGGAGAGAAAGAAAACCAGAGGGGAGAAGAGACGGTGAGAAGGGGGGGAAGAAAGAAAGAAAAACAAACAAAACACCTGGATCATCTGTATGGAGAAAAAAAAAAGAGAAAGCAAACAAAAAAAAGGGCAACATAATAAATACAGCACCATCACGATAAACTAGCTAGCAGTAGATAACAGTAGATACTGAATTTTAAACGATATTGTGCAGCACACAAGATAGACAGCGCACAATGTGCTTTGGCAGCAGCCAAGAAAGCTGTAGTCCGCGTCTGTGAACACCCATGTGTACACCTGTGTGCACACCTGTGTGGATCAGCATGCTTGTATTCCAAAGGTTTCTCCATGTAACGATCTGCTAGGGAGTGTGGGGAGCCACAGCCCCGTCCCCCAGGGTATGAAGCAGGTATGGAGGAGATCCAGGCCCCCGACATCCAGAGGCCCCAGAGTACGAGGACTTGAGGAGGACCACCAAAAGGGGGGGAAACCGTGCCACCCTCCTGGGAAGAGCTGAGTAGAGCCCCAAACGAGAGGTCACCCAGCAGCTACGGAGCAGAGGCCAGAGGGGGTTGCAGTGGCGTGCCTGCGGGCTCTGCCGGAAGACCGCTGTGCCAGAGAGGACCGAGCTTCAGGCCCAGAGGCCAGAGGCCTGAGGGCACCCCACGCCCCGGAAGGGGCCCAGCCGGGCCACAGGCGCCAGGCCCTGCCAATCAGCCACCAGGAGTGAGCCGGTACATACATGAGCGCCCAGCCCCAGTCGACAAGGACAACCAACACACCAACGTCTGAGGGCATCAGCCACCGGCAGGGAGTGTGGTGAGGGGAGAATTTTGCTTTCTAATAATACCATCTTCATTTTCACTTCTCACTCTGGCTTCAATGGTTCATATTTCTGCACTGAATCCATCTGCAACAACTGCAGCAACACAACAGCAAACCAACCAAATGAGAGCTGGTGCACATTCTGTACGAGCTTATTGTATTTTTCTGACTTTTGTATTCTAATGGTTGAAGTTTCAGTTTAGGTTCTTTTTGGCTTTCCAATTTTATAGTTTATTCTCTGTGAGGTTCCTCTTGTGTGTTTGTCTCACCCCTGTTTTGCCTATGTGAGTCTGTCGTGTCATCTGCTTTTTTGTCTCACTTCCCTGCGTGTAGGCGTATTGACTCTCGCGTTTCCTGTGTGTCCCTCTCTCTTACTCACTCCCTTGCCCTTTTTGTGGCTTAGTGAGAGAAATCTGAAACAGCTGCAGTTAAAACATATCAATCAAAAAATATACAAAGGTATTTTCTGGTTGCATTTTTATTTGCTTTAGGAAAACTTAACGCTGAAGCAATACAGTATTTGAATAGGACCCTGAATTCATTTGACTAAGATCAAAATGTCAAGGACAATTTTGTTTCAAATGATGGTACACAAAATGTATTTATTCTTCAGTTGTACAAAATAAAAGCAGAAAGCAGGACAAAAACAGAAAAACAACATCATTCCACGGCCTCAGAAAAGAAATTTGAGGATGGCTGAAGATACCAACAGCAGCAAAGCACTGGGACCAGTTGGAGCAGTGCTGTTACACAGGTCCCCTTCACAGCAAGCCATAGCACCACCACAAATTGCACTGGTTTGGCAGCCTTTTGTAACCAAGTTATAACCTGCAAGACATGAGGAGAAAACTCTCAGAAACCACTTCAAAGCATGCTGTGTAGCATCACTGTGCATGCTTGGGCTTCTCAGTTATCAAGTCTGATATGAGAAAACGACTCACCGTCTACTCTGAGAGAGAAACAACGGTTGAAGATGACGGCACAAGATTTGCTGTCTATGCAGGATTTAGGATCAGCGGCTGTACATGTGTAGCATCGTAATCCACATACTATAGAAACAAACAACACACTTTCACATGTCCTTGTAATTATTTCGGGGTTTATATTTCCATTTTATACCTCTTGATGAGAGCTGGCAGAAAATGGGAAGTGAAAAAAAATAAAACAGGAAATCCTTAAAGTCTTGCATAAAGTAAATACTAATTAAAACTTAAACAATTGTTTTTAAACGTATTAAATAATTTCTATAACAACTAAACTCTTCATATATAATTTAACAACATATATAATTTGTCTGTTTCTGTTTCCTCACAGTCTGGCCATTGAGTTTTTTAACTTTCACTTTCCTTACAGGCTTTAAGACCACCATTAACAATCGATACATTTGTTTATCTGTCAAAGCACACAGGACCAACATGAAATATTCTCTTACCTGCAGACAGAGTCACACACAGAATCAGAGCTCGATAAAGCTGCATCATGAACTCAGTTTGATAATCAGTCTTACAGGGAAAAAAGCTGTGGCTAAGCCTTTCTTTCTTAGTGAAACTTTCACGGTTTTGTTCTGACAATCTGAGAATTTGCATTTCTTCACAAAGCTTTCTAAGAAGTGACCTGAATAACAGTGGCCCCTTAAGTGACCTCACTGCCAGACTCACCATCTTTGGAAATAAAGGCGAGAACTAGGGCGTTACAGCCAATAGGACTGCTCCTGACTAAGCATCACTTATATTAAAAAAAAAAAAGTGTAAAACTTGAGTTTAAATGGTTTTATTTTCATAGTTAAAAAAAGAAATTTCATAAGAAAAGTCTGTTTACTGAAATACAGTTTTGCTTTTCTTTGTTTTTCAATAAGCAGCTGAAAGGTGCTGATGAGACAAACTTTTTTTTTTTTTTTT